AAATTCCTAGAAAAAAATACAGAAAAAAAGAGAGAGAGAGAGAGAAATTACTTGCCTGAAAAAATTAGTAGTCGTTATATATTTGTTATGATAATTTTATTCGATGGAAAAGTTGAGAAAATGACTTGAGACTCTTCACCTAAACATATAACAGAAGTAGTTTGAAGATAATGACAATAATAATACACTTTTTACTGAATGCTTCTTATATGCCAGGAACTCTTTTAACTCTTAGGTGCCAATTATTCTTTTATGTGTCTCTATTAAAAACTTTATTCTGGAAAACTCAAAGATGTATAAAAGTACAAAGGATAGTAAAATGAACCATGTAACCATCTCACAGCTTTAGCAATTATCAACTCATGGTTGATCTAGTTTCATCTATTACCTGCTCCTCCACACCAGCACCTACCCTCCCCATGATGGACTATTTTGAAGTAAATCCCAGACATCTCTATTTCATTTGTAAATATTTCAGTATATGTGTCTAAAAGATAAAAGATTTTTTCAGTTCTACACATTGCATTTAGTTGTTGTGTCTCTTGTCTCTTTTCATTTATAGCTTCTTACCCCCTCCCTTATTTTCTCCCTGCAATTTATTTGTTGAAGGAACAGTCATTTGTCCTACGAAATTCTCCTCACTTTAGATTTTTCTAATTACATTCCTGTAAGCTAGTTTAACATGTTTCTCCATCCCTGTATTTCCTCTAAATTAGTATTTTTGATTTAAATGCTTGGATCTAATTCAGGTTTTATGTTTTTGTAGGACTATTTCTAAAGTGGTGTACATTTTCACTTGGAGGCACGTAATACCTTATCTCTATTTTTGTGACATTAGAAAGAATTGATGGTCATTGTCAAAATTTATTATTTCATTGGTTTGCCAAAGGCTGTATTCATTCTTTGAATATCTGCAACCACCCTGTGAAGTAGGCATTATTATTGTTGTCATTTTACAGATGAGGAAATTGAGTCACAGTAATAGATGTAAGAGTAGTAAAATTTTAGCTTTTGAAATAACTAGTTTCAATTAGCATTAAGGACGAATAGCTCTTTCTACAGTCTCTGTAAAGAATAAGGCAATTAAGACTTTTGGAGCCAGACTGCCTAGGTTCAAAATCTAGCTCCAAGACATATCTATGTGGCCTTGAAATACATTACTTTACTATATAACTCATTGCATTCCTCTCTCATCCCCTGCAGGAGTAGCTATTATTCTGAATTTGGCATTTATCCTTCTGGTGATAAATACCTTTTCCACACACACACACACGAACCATAAGCAATATATGGTATTGTTTTTGTAAATGACTCCTTATTAAATTTACCTCAGCAAGTTGCTTCTTTCCATTAACGTTGTATGTGTGAGATTATTCTATGTTGATACATTTAGAACAAGTTTAGCTTTTCTTATTGTTATATAGTAATTCCATTGTGTTACTGCATAGCAATTTGTTAATCTATTCTCTTACTGATGAACATTTGGCCCTTTTTCAATTGCTTGCTATTACAGTGTCATTATCATTCTAGTGTGTTGGGTGATTTTGCAACAGTTTTTTGTGCACACCTAGAATTGGTGGGTAGAAAGTATGCACCTCTTCAACTCCATTTATGTATTGCCAATGTACTGCTGAGTGTACTTGTACCAATTTATACTCTTATTAATAGTTTATGGAGCTTACCTGAGTTTTCCACAAAAATTTGTGTGTGGACTCAGACAAAACTTGCATTTTCCACATTGAGGCATGTAGAGTGGAATTACTTTGTCACCTAGAAAAAAGGCCATGTGTTGGATGGTGCCTAAGATGTTACTTATAACTAGTTTCTACTAGATGAATTGGTGGAAAACACCATTCTTTATGGCATACATTTTATATTCAGTGGGAAGTATACGTGGCTACAATATTTTGTTAACCTACAAGATTGCTGATTCTCCCAAATATTGCATATTCTATCTTTGTTTTGCTTTGTTTTGTTTTGTTTCTCTGCTGGGCAGTTGAGCAACACATCTATATTGATATCATCAAGTGCAGGGTCCTGTCTGAGCCTCTGCTGCATTGCAACATTCTGCATCATGACTGTTATTTATTATATCATTACCATTATTTATTACATTTCTAAACATCCTGCATGGAATAGGGCATTCTTATATAATAGGAGTGGGCAATAGGCTAGATATGGAGAGTAAACTATATATCTTCTCCATGTTTTACCATTTAGTTCGCTCTCAAATTCTACATTTTTCTAATTTTTATTCAATTTTAATTTAATAATGACTTTTATCCTCTGATGACCAAGGTCTAATAATGATAATTAACATTTGTTCAGCATTTATTACATGCCAGTCATCATTCTAACTGCTTGCATGTATGATCCCATTTAATTCTCAGAACAACCCTTTGAGATT